TAAAGACGGAAGAATGATGTGGTTTTGCATGCGAGGCTCTTAAACTTGTTTAATAAAATGGTGCGTCAAAGGACGATTTTAACGGAATTTGGTAATTTGTATATTTCTTTGAAATAAAAGGACATTTTGCCAAAAAAAAAAACTACCCAGTAGTTTTTGTCATGCCTAGCCTATCTACCATAAAAATATGAGCGAAATCGAATTCTCGACCCTTGCCGCGAATTAAGAATTTGTCTGATTTTTACAGGCAGGCACTCTTAAAAGATGAAATCGACGACATCGAAGTATATCTGATGTCTCTAGAAGATGTTTGTTTGGTTTACAATGTCCAAACAACAAAAATAACAAAGGTCATTTCCTTTAAATGTCCAAAAGAAAAGTCTGATTAGCGGGCAAATGTAAGTCTGTACAAAACGGATTTCTTCATTTTCTGTGAACTGTGCAATACCCTTGTGCGAGTATTACAATGTACAATTTGATTGTTCGTTCTCAGAGGACGTTATATAATTGAAATTGTTCAATACCGTTAACGTCCGACTGGCCCAAGCATCCCAAAGCAAACAGTTTGTGCATGTCCTTTGCCAGCTGTTCGACTACAAAGGACGTTATATAATTGAAATATTTTGTTACTGTTTATCCTCATATGTTAGAGATTTGACTAATCTATACAACAAGCCTCGGAACGAAATGCATGTAAGTTTCTGTAAATCCTCAAACCAAGCTGTTTGTCATTGAAACGTAGACTTCTATTGTTCTTTGTCCGAGGACGTTAAATAATTGAAATTGTTACTGTTTATAGCTTAAATATATTGTTTGACACGAAAGACATGTAAGTTTGTGTAAATCTGACTTGCATAGTACCATATAAAAAGTTATTGTTGGGTTCATTTTTGTTCTGTATTCTTTTGTTGTTATATTATTCAATTTTCCGAATAATTTTCAAAAAGGGAAGAAAACGATGTCAGTTATCATTACAGCTGAAACCGTAGTATCACGATGATTTAAAACCAAGAATGTTATTTTCGTTTTGGCGATTCTGCGTTGTCAATCAAATAATTTACATCAGAATTTAAGACATTTGACGTTGTTTTGAATACTTGACTACAAAAAAGTGACGTGCACAAAACATGGCTCTGTTTTTTTAAGTTGCCAGTTAGTATTTGTTTTGAATGGTTGCTCGTTGGCACTTAGCGAGAGCTACATCTAGTTTTAGCTGATTTTAAGAAGCGGTTTTGAGGTCTCATTCCTGACATCAATCAGAGTGTCAACAATTATTTTGAGACTGAGAAAAGTTGAAATTTGTTAAATAAATTAATCTCATAAACATTTTGTTTATTGGGTTTCTTAAATTCGAGATAAAGCAATGGTTCTCGGCTTACCAAGACCAATTTTGTGTTTGTGTAGTCTCGTCGACTACCGACTGAGACTGCTCGAGCATTTTTTCTGAGTCATTTTCTCAAAAAGAAACGGCTTTATCTTTCTTCTTCCTGCTAGACTATGCTTCTCGTACCTGTTCAATGCCTCGACAAGACTTTTTTGTACTAATCTTTTGCCCAGTCATGTAAAATATTATCTAAATTCTCAAACCTTTACGCCATTTTAAAACAGAGGCAAAAACTTTGTAATGATGACGTCAATCGTGCGTCTGTCCTCTAATAGATCATAAGCGAGGACCATTCAAAATGCGAGAATAACTTGGGTTATCATATAAAAGAGTATAGACCACGCCAAACCACATTCGATTTGTTAACTTGTTTTAAACTTAAAGTTGTTGTCCATTTCTTAAAAAATAGTTTCTCGCCTGCTATTATCCAGATATTTACATAAATTATAAATGAAAGTTAAAGAGACCTAATTTAATAATGATTTGGGGCCCGTTCGCACTAATGCATTTTTGTCTGAAAACGCACACTTTCATAAGCGTTTTCGCCTACCGCCTACACTAATGCGATTGAAAATACTTGCATTTAAAATGCTGCTCAGAGTCGGAAAATATTTTGACAACGGAGCCCTATCGGATTAGAGTGGAGAGCAAAAACTCTGACGCCGTTGACATCATATACACATGCATAAGTTACGGTTGTGGCGTTTACTCAAAACGTACGCTTTAGTACGACAACCCGTCGTTTTGAAAACCCACTAGTGTGGATAGACTTTAGCTGTTTTATTGAATTTTTCAGGGCTGGAAACAGACATTAAGATTTTAAAACAAAGAGCGGAAGGTAAGTTATCATGTACCACAAAATAAATGTCCTTAACTTGTGCATACGATTTGTTTGTGGTTTTATAACTAGCTATAGCTGGCAAAACTTTAGCTCCAGTAGAGTAGAGCTCTTAGACAGTAAGACCTTTTGAATTTCTCCGGAAAGAAATTACCTTTTCTGGTATCACATCGGATTTGCTTGAAAGGTTTTCCTCTTACGACTGCTACGATTGTATAAGTAATATACAAAACATGAAAGACCAAATTTGACCCCACTTCCAAACGCCCAGAAGAGTGTTGAAAATAAGACGCATAGCAAAGCATTTTTGTCGAACGTCGAGGTGTTTGGAAATGTGGTCAAACACTCAGGGGGTTTCGTCTGTTTGATATATCTTCTCAATAGAAACTAAGACTAATATAAGGAGAAAACGGAGAAATTAAGGCAGGTTTGCTTCTTTGTGTACTGGCCTGTTGAAATGCTCAATTTTAAATAAATTAATCGGCCATCTTGGTTGATCAAGCTGTATTTCGAACTTTCCTAGATTTGACCAAAATGTGAACTCGTCGGAACATTAAACGCATATTTCTGAAAATAGTTCACCAAAAGGGTCTTTCTGACGCAATAAAAGAAAATTCGACTTTTCGCTCCTGTCGTCAAGTTCTACATTTTTATTGGCAGTGGCTCTTAAAACGTAGCAATAGTTTTAAACTGACTGATTAGATAAAAGTTAAGTCTGCATACTAGCCAAGTGGCTTATTAGGCCGGAGTTTATCCTGGTTTCTCTAGCATGAAGGGACGAAGAATATTTCTACTCCTCCCTGGATGGGCTGCTAGTCCATCACAGGGTTACCCCCAGCATTGAATTTGCCGATACCCATTTGTACGCACGGGTGGAGAGAGGCACTGTGAGAGTAGAGTGTCTCTACCAAACTTGTAGGGTGGAAAAATCTAGCTTGCCAGCAGGAAATTCAAAGAGCTACGATGGTTTATAGGTCTCTACACGGGTTGGCTCCAAACTATCTCAGTTCTAAATTTGAAAGGCGAGAAATTGCATATGACCTAAGGGACTCTGAGAATCGATTAAATATGACAAAAACGGTTGATAAACAACCGGCAAAAGAGTGCTAATCTACTTTTGCGTTTTTACACACAATACATGGCGTCATCACTTACATGGAAGGCATGTGCACTTCAATTTGTAAAAACCCGTAAAAGCTGTCTTTGATCAAAGTGTCTCTAAAACCTACAATACAACATAGAGCCGCTCGTCTCAGAAATAACTTTTGCCAAGAAAAAAATTATATCACGTTCAAAAGCAGCTCTTGTACTTGCTAGAATTGAATTTTGAAAGAATTCTACATAATACCTAGTATGTTTTGAGATGTTTGAAAACGGTATGGAATTTTTGATTTTCAAAGTCTAGAAATTTCGGTTCTCTTCGCTTGCTCTCCAGGAATTCGGAATTACAATTGTAAGTCTAAATTATCATCAAGGCAGCTTAGCAATACCTCCTAAATAACATTATAAACTACGGAAAGCCAAAATTTGCTGTGCGTCTTCACGCGAGTTCGATTATCTGATCATGAAATTTGACCTCATTTCTGTGATTTTTCGGCTTCACGAGTTGTCCACGGTTTTTCGTAATTTTCTCAAAAATGTAAAAACTCTAGAACCTAAGACTTATATCACGATTCTTAGCATACCATAGGTATGTATCTCTGGACAAAATATCAAGGGGTCCATTTTTCCAACCTTGTGCCACATTTTTTCAATCTCACTCGGTCCCTATAGAGAGTCGCTCTTAAGACCAGAGTTGTTACATTTTGCGTTGTTACATTTCGCGTTAAAGAAGTTCCTACATTTTGGGTTGAAAAGCTGTAACAATTCAGGCCAATGTACTATGTTACATTTTGCGTCAAAAGTTGTTACATTTTGCCTCGAAAGTTGTTACATTTTGCGTCAAAAGATGTTACATTTTGCATTAATGTTACATTTGCGGTAGTTGTTACACTTTGCGGCGTAAGCCCCCATATTTACAAAATTAGTTACTTTAGCGGCACAGTTGAGGAACCAGAAAGGAGCGGGGAAAACGTAATAAAAAATTCATTAGTGAGCAGCACTTTGCGAACTGTAGTTGTATAACTTCTTCATTTCTCCTACGCGTTTCGTGTGACTAACGCACACTTCGTCAGGGAGTTTAACAATACAACAAGAGGCGCCTGTCTATATACCTAACTCGTACTGGAGTTTACATTTCCTAAGAACACATCTACGGATATGCATATAGGAAAGAAAATATTGGGGCCCACAGTTTTAACTAAAACTGTGGATCCCAAAATTATATCACGCACAAAATATGTCACACCTTGCCGAAATTTACCGCCTGTTTCCTAAACGCATTACCGCGGAGTTTGTCTTTCCTATATGTATATCCGTAGGTATGTTCTTACGAAATGTAAACTCTAGTATGAGTTAGGTATATATACAGGATATATGCATGATGGAACGTGTCCCGAAATAGATGTTTTATGGCAACTGTTCAGCTCCAGTAGATATTAACTAATACGCACACTTTCTACATCAGTCGTTAATCTATCAATTTGCCTTTTGCAGAGTCGTTGTTAGAGAGTCCATTGCATACCCCAATTCAATGGCAAATAAGATTTAACTTACAAACCGAAACAAAACCCTAACGTTTCAAAAGATTTACAGTTGATATCTTAACTGTTTGATTAATTGGCAATTTTTGGCATTACACAATTTGTTGTTTTATTGGTGTCAATCATCCAGTCTGGGACTTTGTAAATGATTGTTTTGTTTACACAAACCTTTCCTTTACAAAACCTGGTAATTACATTTCCCACAGAGTCCCAGCAGGAGAAAATGAAAAGCCAACGCACAGTTGAATAAAATTCAGAAAGTTCATAGACCATGGATCTAATTTAAGATATATTGACATAAATTGTAAGGCTAAAGAGTCCTAATTTAATAATGATTAGGGCCCCGTTCACACTAATGCATTTTTTATTGAAAACGACCACTTTCTTAAGCGTTCAGTCGCCTACCGCCTACACTAACGCGATTGAGAAAGCATGCATTTAAAACGCTGTTCAAAGCCGGAAAAACTTTTGACAACCGAGCCCTATCGGATTAGAGTGGAGAGCAAAAACTCTGACGCCGTTGACATCACATCACTAGTGTGGGTAGACTTTTAGCTGGTTTTTTTTGTTGTTGTTTTGTTTTGAATTTTTCAGGGCAGAAAGAAGACATTAAGATTTTTAAACAAAGAGAAGAAAGTAAGTTATCATGTAGTACAAAATAAATGTCCTTGTGCATAAGATTTCCTTCGTTGCTGTTTAACTAGCTATAAATGGCAAAAGTTTAGTTTCAGAGAGTAAAACTCTTAGCTAGTAGGACCTTTTGAATTTTTACGGAAAGAAATTAGCTTTTAAATTCTGGTATCGCATCGGATTTGTTTGAAAGGTTTTCCTCTTACGACTCTTACGATTATATAAGCAATATATAAAACACGAAAATGGCCATTTTTTAATCAGAGTACAATCAAGACAGACTGAAGCTTCTGAGAAGGATTAGAGGTACGTTAAACTTTTCACTGTACAGAAATTCGTTTTTTTTATGGCAACAGTTTAGCTCCAGTAGATATCAACTAATACGCACACTTGCTACGATCAGTTGTTAATCTAACAATTTATCACTTGCAGAGTCGTTGTAAGGGAGTCCACTGTATAACCCAATTCAATAGCAAATAAGATTTAACTTAGACCGAAACAAAACCTTAAAGTTTGAAAAAATTTACAGTTGATAACTTAACTGTTTGGTTAATTGGCAATTTTTGGCATTACACAATTTGTTGTTTAATTTGTGTCAAGGCATCCAGTTTGGGCCTATTTAAATGATTGTTTTGTTTACACAAACCTTTCCTTTACAAAGCCTGGTAATTACTTTTCCCACAGAGTCTAAGGAGGAGAAAAAGAAAAGCAGACGAATAGTTGAAAGTAAGTTTAAAATTCAGAAAGTTCATAGACCATTGATCCAATTTAAGATATATTTACATAAATTATAAAGTTAAAGAGTCCTAATCTAACACTAATGCATTTTTTTTTGAAATGCACAGTTTCTTAAGCGTTTTCGCCTACCGCCTACACTAATGCGATTGAAAATACATGCGTTTAAAACAATGCTCACAACCGGAAAAACTTTTGACAACGGAGCCCTATCGGATTAGAGTGGAGAGCAAAAACTCTGATGCCGTTGACATCACATACACATGCATGAGTTACGGCTGTGGCGTTTACTCAAAACGTACACTTTGGCACGACAACCCCTCGTTTTGAAAACCCATTAGTATGGGTAAGCTTGAGCTGTTTTTTTGAATTTTTCAAGGCTGGAAGAAGACATTAAGATTTTTAAACAAAGAGAAGAAGGTAAGTTATCATGTACCACAAAATAAATGTCCTTGTGCATAAGATTTGTTTGTGGTTGTATAACCAGCTATGACTGGCAGAGAGCTCTTAGGTAGGAGAACCTTTTGAATTTCTCCGAAAGGAAATTACTTTTCCTGGTATAACATAGAATTTGCTTGAAGGGTTTTCCTCTTACGACTGTTACGATTGTAAAAGTAATATATAAAACACGAAAGACCACGTTTGACCACATTTCGAAACGCCCAGAAGAGAATTGAAAATAAGAAGCGTAGCAATGGGGTCAAACACTGTTTTCTGTGTTTGATATATCTTCTCAATGGAAACTAAAACTAAGGAGAAAACGGAGAAATCAAGGCATGTTTGCTTCTTTCTGTACTGGCCTGTTGAAAATGCTCGATTTTACATAAATTCCATCGGTCATCTTGGCTGATGAAGCTGTATTTCGAAATTTCCAAGATTTCACCAAACGTGAACTCGTTGGAACCTTAAACGCATATTTCTGAAAATACTTCACCAAAAGGGTCTTTTTGACGCAATAAAAGAAAATTCGTTTTTTCGCTCTTGTCGTCAAGTTCTCCATATTTACTGGCAGTGGCTCTTAAAACGTAGCAATAGTTTCAAACTGACAGTTTAGGTAAAAGTTGTCTGCCTAAGAGCCAAGTGGCTTATCAGGGCGGAGCTAATCCTGGTTCCTGTAGCAGGAAGCGACGAGGAATATTCTGCTCACCCCTGAATGGGATGCTAGTCCATCGCAGGGTTACCCCCAACATTAAATTTGCCGGTACCCATTTGTACGCCCGGGTGGAGAGAGGCACTGTGAGAGTAGAGTGTCTCTCCCAAGAACACAACACAATTTCTCCAGCCAGGGCACGAACCTGGACCGCTCAATCCGGACTCGAAAGCATCAGCCATTAAGCCACCACGCCTCCCCTAGGATCGATTAAATATGAAACAAAATGGTAGGTAAACAACCGGCAAAAGTGTTCTAATTTACTCTTGCGTTTTTGCACACGATACATGGCTATAAATCGCCCAAAGTCGCCTTAAGTTACGGCGACTTAAGGTCCCAGATTAGGCCTCACCAGTCATATGTAGACCCCCATAAATACCCTCTTAACAAGTTTCTTCCAAAAATTACCAAGTGAATACTCAAGCTCCCAGACTATTTATTAGATGGGCCCCAAGCCGCTGGCGGCAGGGGCCGTTCCATGCTNTTAAATATTGCATGCAGGCAGGGGTCATTTTCCGAGAATCTCAGGAAGTATTTCAAGACAACTGTTCTAGTTCTAGTCAGACATAGCAACCGAGAAAACAGAGAATCAAAACAGTTCTAAAATTCCATCAAATTTAAGTTAACAAACTTTTTTATTAGACTATTTCTGAGTTACCTTCTTCTAAGAGTTACAGAGCTGCGAATATATTTGTATTAAAATGTACTTAGGTTTATACGTTGTGATTTATATCCTATGGTGGGAAAATTATCAACACCTTGAATAAATATATAAATACATTAAAACTTGTTCTCAGAGTTATAGAGACACTATCCTGCAAGGGTTAGGGAGATCTACTGCTCGAATGTTACATTAGCTTCGGGTGAATTTTCTGGTTTGCTATCTATTTGGCATACTGATAATTTCGTAGCTCCTAGTACCCGATCCATTACTGACAGATATAAACCACAATTCGTTTTAATTACGTAATATCATTCTTAACAATTTTTAAACAAAATTCTGATTTTGTGAAGTAAGTTAGAATACAACTACGATTCTGTAGTAACATTTAGAATCTGTTTTTTAATATATCTGAATACGTGAAACATGTTGTCCATTGTGACTGATATTTCTCTGAATGATATTTAAGTCCCCGATACTGCTTTCAAGTACCATTTTAATTCAGTTGAAATCTTAACCCTTGATCTATATGTGAACGAAAGAAGTTGGATCGTCCTATATTCTATTCTGACATAAACATTCCTTATTTGGTATAAGCCCCTTCTCCACTTTCAATGTCGCTATCTACGGTCTTTCGTGCAATCCCTCTTCGAGCACGACGCTAAGATGGGAGAGACAAGAAGAATAGAGTGTTATTAACTTTATCTGAGAACTTTTTTCCTCAGGTTGAAGACACTGAATTTGGATTTTAATCTTTAGCAATTTCTTTGTAATGTGTTGCAAAAATGTTGCTCAATGAATCCTGCCTCATGCAAGAACGTTTTCGGCCTAGCTGACAAGAGGTCATTTTCCTAGAAAACTTGGAAGTCCGTAGTTATAAGCTACATGTTTACCTATTAAACCTCTTACAACAGTTCGTTTTCGTTTGGATATGTTTCCCTCTGTTTAAACCTGATCCCTCAGAAATTCTCACTTGCATCGGATCTAATGGCCTTGTCAGCTCAATTCAACCAATAGGCACCTTAAGCAACAGACGTTTTCGTTGACGACGGCGACGTGACGACCGATAAGAAACTGGGGCTAGAACGGCTTCAGGTTGCGGTCGCGACAGCAAGTTACCATCCTTAAAGAAGGATTTCTCGAGCTAGCATCACATCTTTTCGTTTTGTCCACTCCGTCTACGAGTTGAAGATAAACTATAATTGAAAAATAACTCGATGGAATTAAACCTTATACTATTCATGTTTTACTAAGAGATGTAAAATCATTGCGAAAAATAACGAAACAATTTAAGTTTATAA